CTAAAGCTAGAAGTGACATTTAATGGATTGAAGCACTCTAGAGGTGCAGTTGTGGAGAGAGAAAAAAGGTACTTTGTTTAATAGCCTCAAGGATTCCTCTAGCAGGGGACATAATTGTTGTTTCCTTATTTTAAAAACAAACAAAAAAAAAAAACCCAGAACCTGGCAGATGTTGATGTGATGAGAGATGTATTGGCTGTGTATTGCAGCTCTTCAGATTCAGGAGCTGCACTCAATTCCATCACTGAAATCTATTTTTTGGGTTTTTGACAGCTGTTTTTGCCATTTACTTTAAAAGCAGATGGGGGAAATGCAAAGAAGAGCTGTCAATTTTATTACCATRTATAATCAGCATCTGTGCAATACATCAGACTCATTGCGCAGCTTACACTTTCTCTCTATAGTAGAATCCTTCTGGGATTTCTTGACAACCTTCTTGAAAGACTTTAGTAGATACTGGAATTAAAAGCATAGATTAATTAACTGCTAAAGCCACTRTTCAATCATCCAAATTTACTTAATCAAGATGTTATGATTGTTTAATTATRTATCTCTAATTTCCTCCTCCATATTCAAATTCACATTTCCTTAAGCAAGATGTTTTATTTTATTTTAGTATTACAAAATGCTTTCTATAAATCTCTGATCACTGTACATGCWTTTTGGTGAAGAACATCTCTGTGTATATTTTTTTATCATTCTCTACTGAGCAGTCTTAGTAYCTTGTACCCCATCTGCATGACTTCTCTGTAGAGAACAGGGTGTTCTTCATTCACAGTCTGCCCTCTTTCCTGGTGCAGCACTCATTCACAGAAATGACTTTTTAAAGTGGGAGAATAAGCTGGTTTAAAAGTGTCAGTATAAATAAGCATGTTGTCTGTCTCTGTAAGTGCGGAAGTAGTAATCAGTAATGGTGTCTGCAGGCTYACAGCAGAGAACAGCATCCTCCTGGAAAGTGTCAAGTGATTTACATGTCACAGGGCTCTCTGGGGACCGTGTGGGAAGAATCTGTCTACTGGCTGGGGACCTACTTTGATTTGATTTGATTAGGTTGGAAGTCACAACTGCAGAAGCACCTTTGTTTCTCAGAATAGTAAGTGGTTGTACATTACAGTGTCTGCAGTGATAAGCAGAGGGGAAAGATTTCCAAAGAGAAATGTTCACAGTACATTTCCTAGATAGGAGAGATTAGGGAATAGTCATCAAAAAAGGTTTCAACCAGTTTGGCAACATTAAAAGACAGTRAAACACTTATGTATCGATGCAGGACTTCTTTGAAGTGAAACACTAAAAGGARCCAGAGACTTGATATTAAGAGCATTAATTAGTGCTTGTGCAGTGATGGGCAGAGTACTTTCTTTTACATSAGGCGATGCAAGCTTTGATGAAGAGTGTGCTTAACTGTCTTCCTCCATTATCTTAGCTTATTAAATATGCTACTAAAATTGACTKTGACTTTTGAAAAAGAAACCACCAAGGCACTGTTTATGATACGTAGATGTTCATTTATAGGAAAGAATGACTTCTGGGATGACTTTGAAAGGGGTTGTTGTGAACAAAATTTAATAMAAATTTCATGGAAAAATACTGACAYGTTTTTTGTTCATTGRTGATATAATGCTACTTCTGGCCAAGTCATTTGCAAGCACTTAATGGCTGACTTTTTCAGTAATAGATAACTACAATCCATCTATTCCAGAACTAAAAATATTTAATATAGGGCATTAATATAAAGGGGTTTTTAATTACTGTGGGTTTTATCAGTAGAATGCAAATTTATTTTAGATATTAGTCTGTCTGTACTTTGTGACTCTGGAATATATCTAATTAGATTTTCTCTGGAATAGTTGATGCCAATTTACAGTCTGTGAAATGCAGCTGATTCTATGAAGATAAAGCAGAAAATTAGAGGATAACAAAGCTTGAAAATGTGTATTTGATTTACTTTCTTTATAGACAAAATGGGATATAAAGGATTTTTCTTCTGTATTTATATAATCTTATTCCTCCTTTCTTATGTTAATCTCATTTTCTAAAATGTGATGTGTTTCAGTGCCTACACTTCAGCGTGACTTATGAAAAGACATACTTAGATGATCCTACTATAACAAATCCTTTATCCAGAAGAGCTTGTATATATATCCCAGCACTGCACAGTCTGTCTACTAGACTATAAATGTTTCACGAAAAGAAAACGTTAGTTAAAGTTGACATGGAGTTCATTTTCACATCCACCAGTGAATTGGTGTTAGAACTCCTAGAAAATTAGCTCTCAGAAATACACTGTAGCAGGACTTCTTCAGGTTTTGGTCCCATGTAATTTGCAGACAAATGGGACAGCATTAAATTAAATCTGCTATTCCACCTTCTCATACAAAAAGGCCTACGTGGATCCTGTAAGGTACTTCAGTTTGTAAAATTAATACATATTTTTAATTAAGAGAGTAAACTGTAAAATACATTGTGTCTTAATTTAATGCTAGACCTCAAGTTACATGCCTTATCCTGCCTAGTTAAGACCACTGTAGTTTAAAGATACGTGAATGTAGAGTGGAACCCCTGCAGCACGAGGTTACAAATCTCTACATCATGGGCTAATAAGCAGCTTTAATAAATGAGGCTTCTGATAGCCTCATGTGGGAGCCTGGCTACTGCAATATCTCTTTCCCATATACACAGAGACAGACATTTTTTTCCCACAGTCTCTCTCTCTAGCAACCCAAGACCTCCTCTGTATTTTGGTCTAATCCTTCCTTGCCCTTTTCATGCCCACCCTGCTCCTTTCCAGCCSTCTGTTATATGCCCTGCGTGTTTCCCTGTGCAGGATATTCTTTGCCTGGTGGCCAGAGCTCCACATCTGATAAATGCCAGGTGAGGCTCTCCCTGGTGTTTAGGTGGTTGGTTGCTGCCCAATAGAGTGTGTAACAGGAATGGATGGATGGCAACCATGCTCTTTGTGGCTGAGTTAGTTTGGCTTCTCAGCTCCTTACAATTGCTAAAATGAGGAAGTTTTATTATTTGGAGGTTTTTGCTCTCCCTGATTTAGCCACCTGACTAGAAATCTATTTAGATGAGAAGCATGCCTAATCTTCATTTTCTGGGAAAACTAAGATAAAAATGTAATGTAAGGATAGAAAATACTTGTCTTGGCCTAACTCAGTACTGTCCTTTAACCTCAGCAAGTTTTTACTTATTCAGATGTTTGCATTCTGCCTCTAGCCAAGTGTACAGGAGAGCAGTGACCTTGTTGCTTTGTATCCTGGTCTGAACCTTCCTGTTCTGATGCTAAATGTGTTTATGGGTCCAAAAGGCTCAGCCAGGGTAAAGAGTTTGAATGAGCATCAGGTTCATGGAAAAGGTTTTCAGTCTTGTGCCATGGGATYGAAATATCAGTGTTTAAAATATACCTGAAATCTATAGCAAGGTCACAGTATGTTCCTAAAACAGATGAGATGAAGTGAGAATTTCTCTGTGTCTGGAAGATTTTTCTGGAGCTTTTGTTTTTTTCCCTTGGGCTCATGATAAGCCATTCAACAACAAATTCAGCTAAGTTAAAGTATGATCTGACTAAAGAGATTTTAAGTATTAAATATATAAATATTTCTATCTGAACATGGGTTTATGAAGGCAGAAAAAGAGCTTCAGTTCAGCTGTATCATGATCTCTTGAGAAACTTTGCAAAAAGAAACCATTYCTCTTAGAATATTTTATTGGAAAAGTTTACTCAAAATATATATTGGTTTATTAGTTACACTGCACACAGAGACTCATGTCTCAATCAGAACAAAAATGAAACAGAAGACAGTTAATAGGAAAAGAGTAAAAGGAAAAAAATAGGCCAGTATTTCTGCATCTAGATTTTAAAAGTCTCTTTCACCTTGAATTGTGAGGSAATGTCCTTGTAATTTAGAATAATGCAGTAAACTTACAGGTTTTTGATTAATTTTATTAAATAGATTTTGGCACTGTCTTTATGTGCATAAATAGGGTTGATACTGTGCACGAAAGAGGGAAGTAGCTTATTAGATAAGCATGGTATGTACTTTGACTAATCCTGCCTTTTCCTGGAGTACTTTTTGCTATAATGGTTTCTTACCTTATGTATACACAGCAGAAATTTTCACTGCCATAACCATGATATAGTGGGGTACGTGGAGAAGCAGTTTCTGTTTTAAATGTGCTCATTTCTGACTCTGTTTTGACTTGTTGGCACTTGGGCCATAGGTCTGTGTCTGCATTGATTTCCCATATGCAAATCTCTGCAAGTTCAAAAACTTCTTGGATAATGGTTTCCATCAGTAAATTCACTCTTTACAATATGAGAGTTTTCACTTACAGTCACTATACATACAAAGCAAGTGTGGSCAGTAACATTAGACCCAAGTTGAGATTAAAATACTTGTTTAAAGAAGTTAGAAGTGTGGCTATACAATTCTAGCATTGTATCTTAAAGAAAATATTTCATGTACTGTATCTAAAGAAATTGTGTGCGTCTTTGAAAACATGGCAGTTGCCTTATTGCAGGTAACAATAAATGTTATTTGTTCTGTAGGAGCATTCCTCTCCCCTTTCCCATAGTTTGCATATTTCAATTATCTCATGGAAGTCTTTAGGCATTTCTAAATAGMAATTACTATGCAAATTGCTATATGTGAATAATATTTTGGATGTAAATTAAGACTAATTCAAGATCAAAATTTTTTATGACAATTCTACCTTAAATTTTAGAAGAATCTTGTATGCTGTAACAAAAAGTTTTCTTTAAATGTAAAATCAAGATTGGGTTTTAATTTACAACTCTATTGTCTATAAGTTAAAAGGTTTGGCAGATTTTTTTTTCCTTCTTCTTTTTTTCTGTAATGAAAGAAATAAAGATGATGCTGAAAAGGAAAGAAAAAGTAGCCTTCTTTGTTGAAATCTGTCTCTCCAAGTTTCTTATGGCTTTAGACCCTTGTTTGGCTTGGGGGTTGTRTTTTTATGTTGTTGCTGTTCTTTTGCAGACGGTTGGAACAAAATTCAATCAAGGTCATACCTCCTGGAGCTTTCTCCCCCTATAAAAAGCTTCGAAGAATGTACGTAACCAGTAACTTACATTTATTTTCAGATGTATATACAAATCAAGATAAAAAACAAGTCAAGATGGCACAAGGGAGCTGCTCAAGTGTGAGCACTTAAGAAAGTTTGACTGCCACAAGGTAAACTGATACGGCAGCCTGATTGTTGAGACCATACATCATGTTTGTCATATTTATAACAATTGGGTTTTTACCAAATACTGAAATTGTTGAATATAGTACTGCATAGAAGCAGCTACTGTAGGGAAAATTGTAGGGAAAAAGAGAATGAGGATAATTTCAGATTATTTTTGAGGCTGTWTAGCACTGTGATCATAGCAAGCAGAGAATCCTTAAAAAAAAAGTACTTATGCAATTAGGGAAAATAAATACTTTATCTTTTTTCTTTTTCAAGCATTTCAAAGGCCTATTTTTGACCATGCATTTTGTTTCAGTGTATTGGCAATTTCAGTGGTTTCATAATAAAGTTCTTTGGCAATGTCTCATGTCAATATTTTAATTTCTCTCTCCCATCCATGCTTAATTCTAATCACATATTATCTTAAAGTTCATTATTTTGAAAATACTTGAACTAATTGTATCAAATTTTGTTTGTTTCAGTGACCTGAGCAATAACCAGATCTCTGAAGCAGCTCCAGATGCTTTCCAGGGCTTACGTTCACTCAATTCACTGTAGGTATCCGTTTGACCTGTAAACAGAAGCAAATTTCTCATATTCTTACAGTGAAATTATTTGGCCTTTTGGCTCCCTGCAAAATTTTTCAATAAATTCAATCAGTTCTGAAAGTTGTAAAAATAATTTCWGAATGATAGTGATAATTGAATATTCTTTCACAGCTGGACACTAATAATGTATGGGGGAGGTTTATAAATACATTTATGGCAAGGAGTTGAACAAAACCAAACGTGTCCTTTATTCCCCAGTTAGTTGTTGTTACAAACAGCAGAGCCACTTAGCCAGGTCCCTTGGTGAGCCTGTAATCAGTGAGGTGCTTATTCTTCAGAAAGCTCTTTGGGCTACACACCTTTTGGGAAAAYGTGTGATCCTGCTGCCTCACAGGAACACAAGGATATTGCAAGTATCAAGTGGTTGTCATTAAATTCCTTTSAGGAAAATGGGAATTTCTCTATTTTTGAAGTCAAAATACCATAACATGTGCCTTTGCCTTTCATAAAGGTARCTTTGTTTGCTTTGTTTCCTGGTACAGAGTCCTCTATGGCAATAAAATCACAGAACTTCCAAAGGGTCTATTTGAAGGACTCTTTTCTCTGCAATTGCTGTGAGTATTTTTTTAAATATATTCTATTTTGGGACCATTCAAAAGGGTTAACATGATGAGAGATTTATGCCAGAAGAACTGGCTAGAAATCCCATATGTAAGATCAAAGTACAGTAAAACCAATTTATGCTAAAGCCAAAAGAGTCAGGACTGTTGTAGGCCAGTCTGCCATTCATCCACAAATGTGATCATATCAGCTAATGGCTCTGACTAAAATGATTAAAATAAAGATATTCTCCAGTATGGAATTTTTAAGAATAAAATCCATAAAGATATGATACCTTCTAAACAGCAAATAGCATGCATAAAGTGTGGGAGTCATAGCAGGAATATTTGTGTGTTTTAAGGAGAAAATATATAGTGGGAATGCTATGCAATTGCATTTCTGGTTGTACCCATGAAAGAGCAGTATTGCACCACAGTTTTATTGATGACTTTTAAAGTTTTCAGACACTCTGTACAYTTCTTTAACTCTGTGAACTCCAGCTGCTGCTTCGTTTAACACTTTGGAAATTGTAACCTTTTAAATCATTACTCTTTACATTTTATACTGGAATAAAGAATTTCATGGTGATATGTTTATCAAATATTTTCAATATTTAGCAGAAGAGGCTGTGCAAAAGAAATGTGTTAAATAGACCATAAAACAACAGTGATGGTTTTGGAAGAAATTGTCCCAGAGTAACTGACTTGTTGAGTTAGAGTCCTCTTGAAGAATTTAAAATTTCTTCACACATGTTTAGAATTATCTGATGTCCAGACTTCACCACGAAGTAGTTGGCAAAATATATATTATTAACAAGTAATTGTTAATAATTAATTAACAAGATGGCAAAACAGTAAATATATACAAAGAAAATGCAAGTTCTAGCACCACCTAGAGGTTTGCATTTTGATTTATTTCAGTCACAAAAACAGTATAGTAGTGGGCAGGGTATGCTTTCCTGTTGTCCTGTAAAGATGTTTTATTACTAAAACGTATTTCAGATCTGTTAAAAAAAAAAAAAGTAAGAGAAGTTTCTGAACTCTCAATTATGTATTAAAAAATGTTCGTAGATTAATACACCTTGTATMGATAGATAGTACATTTAAGTAAATTTCTACTTGTGTGGCACAACTATCAGAGCRTTAGTTTCAAATTCACCATTTCATTCCATTTCTGGTTCAAAATGGAATGAAATAAAACATACTTGGTTATAAAAGTKCATTTAATTGAATGACTTGTTTCTTTTTTCTCTTCAAATGGAGTTGGTTTAGATTGGCTTGTTTGTTTTAACACTAAAAGTCTGGGAGGTACAGGGAAGAAAAGGTTCCCTTTGAAGATACAGAGGAAAAAGGATCCAAGACAGATTTGGATATASTCCATGCCACCAGTTTTTACTACAACTCTGTTAATGTGGCAGCATGCTGATTAGTAACATATAATTAAAAGTGCCACTGCACATCTCTTCCAGCTAATGAACACAGTGTTCAGTTCCTTTTTTGTTTGTTTATTTATTTGGCAAAAGAAACTAGTTTTCCTTGAATATACTTGATTTTTTTGGCTTGTTCCTTTGCACAGTACACAAATACCACACAGAAATTCAACAAGCATATACAAGAAATGCAATTTTAGCTGAATAAATGTACGCATTTCAGCTCTAAGGTTCAAATATGTAGGAATATGTATCACCTAAATAAGATATTTCAATTCACTGAAATTCCTTATGTCACTGTCAATTATTATTTGTTACTACATCTCTTGTTCTAGTTGCAAAGGTGCACAAAGAATTGCCTGTGAAAATTGCTGAAGCTGCAGCATGGAGCAGTTTCTTTCAACTTTATAATTGTCTTCCATTAAACAGATTATTGAATGCCAACAAGATCAATTGTCTGCGAGTTGATGCCTTTCAAGATCTGCACAACTTGAATCTTCTTTCTTTGTATGACAACAAGCTTCAGACCATTGCAAAAGGCACCTTCTCACCCCTCCGTGCCATTCAGACCTTGTACGTATGTCCTTGTTTATGGTTTTCTCAAGTGTGACTTCGTATTCTACAATGCAGAAAAAGCTCTGGGTACTGCTGAGACCAAAGGGARATAATGTGCAATATTACTGCTTTTTTTTCTCCATGAAAGGCATTTGGCTCAGAACCCATTTATCTGTGACTGCCATCTGAAGTGGCTGGCGGATTATCTTCACACAAACCCCATTGAGACCAGTGGTGCCCGTTGCACCAGCCCCCGCCGTCTGGCAAACAAAAGGATCGGCCAGATCAAAAGCAAGAAATTCCGCTGCTCAGGTAATTTTCTTAGTTCAGCTACTATTTTTCTTTTATTGGCAAAAAAAATAGTGGTTATAGAAGTTTTAATGAAGGCAGCTGTCTCTCTACAGAATTATTAAACATCAGAGAATTTTTTTTTTTTTTAGTTCTTTGAATAGAGGGAAATCTGGGAAGTAATAGAGCATTGGATCATGGAACATTACTGTAGTTAGCACATTTGGCACTATTTCTGAGTAGCATTAAATCTAACAAAATAAATGTAATATATAAAACTTCAGAATGAAATGCTAAAGTTATTCACTACAAGTATCACCAACATAAATCATTTTGTAAAATTTCCACAGGGCTCTGGAATATGTGAAAGATCTAAAGATTTCTAAGCTAAATATGGAAACATGACATATTCCTTTTATACAGGGAGCTTGCCTCATACTGAAATTTACTGTTTTCTTTTTCTAATCTTATTCCATTTCCTACTTACATTTCTTTAAATCCTAACTTTTGTCATATGGTATCCAGCTGTTCCAGGTGCATTTCAYATTTTACAGTTTATTCAGTCTCAAGTGCAAATACCAGATGAAAACTGTTTTGTTATCCATGTTCCGGATACATTTATGACTATTCACACTTTGTTGTTTATCAGCTCTCTTTGTGAATACACATTTTTTCACTAAATTATCTCTAGTTAACTGCAGTCCATATTTAATCTAATAAAACTCATTCTTTGCTTGCTGACATTCAGGTGCATCTTCTATTTTTTTTTTCTCTTTATTTAGCTAAAGAACAGTATTTCATTCCAGGTAGGTTTGGCTCTGCAGTAAGATTGACTAACTGCAGATATTCTCTCCCTTTCCCCCCAAAAGCAAAGTTTGTTATAGCTTTTARGAAACTGATGCATGTGTACTAACATTAGTCAATACCTGTAGCTAAATACAGTTTTCCTTTGTAGAATACTAGTAATTCTGTTTTCTGAATATAAGGGCTTAGCATGCAGCTCTGTTTACCTTTTTCTGTCTYACAGATTTGCACACAACCTACCAAAATTATACCTATACTTAAATAATTTGAAAGGTTGCACCTGCTAGTTCACATTTTAACTGACACTTCCACTTACCTTGTACCTTGCCTTTCTGCTGCTACTGTTTTTAAAATGTGGCTCCTGAGCTGCTTTTAAACACAGGAAACCATGCTGCCGTCAAAGAGCTAGCRCACCTTTAAAAAACCAAACATTCTTCAAATGAACATTCTTTTGCCTTGCTTTTATGCTCTATGCTGGCTGCATCTACTGCTTGCTCACCCTTCTTTTGTTTAGGAAATCACAGTGGAATGCTTGGAAAAGAAAGCTGATATTCTTAATTAGAGGCATTCTGTGGTCACATGCATACAGTGAATCAGAAATGCTTTCCATTAAAGAAAATGAGACTTTAAAGTTGGGGTGAAATACCAATTTACTCCCTGCTTTATGCTACAGTAAGTCTGTGATATTTTTGCAAAAGATTTACTGGTGTTGGTCCTAGCTCTTTGAAATATGGATCTTTCTTTATTTTACCTTGCTTGTCAGTGTGTACACTGTTTTCTTAATAGAAAAAAAAATATTCACTCACATTATTTTCATAACGCATTATCAATAACAAAATAAACAATGGAATAATGCATCTATTGATGAATTACAGTACATGATTTGCAATCAGGGTTTTCTGCAATAGTTTAATATCTGGGAAAATATCTGTAGTAATTGATTAGGACACCAGTGCACTAACTCTTTCGAGTACTACAGGTAKATCATCATTCTGCTGTTGTCTTAGCTGTTGTCTCTTCAGCTGGTGTGTTTAACAGCTTTTCTCCAAGTGCTGTGTAATGTAACTCTTAAATTTGCAGCAGTCATGTGGAGTTTTCCATGCCCTTATACCAGTACGTTGGTTTGAATATGAAGAAAAGACAAATGAAATAAAAAACAAGGCAGCAATTTGTCAGCACTGGCATCCGGGAAAAYGTGTTTTAAAGCAGCATAAAACAGGGGGATTCAATTTCACAAGCCTGTAGTACCACTCAGTTCCTTAATGTGTAGAACAGCTGTATTCCTGCCACAGAGTGACTTCTACTCAACCTTGCCAGCACAACTTTTGCCTCTGAGTTAGACGTGTTTTCTTGCCAGAAAATGTCTTCACAGCCTGGTTATAATACGGCCACACAGGCAGTTTAGGCTTATTTATGCACCTTTTAAAATATGCTATTCAGGGTGGGGTCAGGGGTGGGGAAGAAAAAAGAAGAAGAAAAATAATTTAATTAAACAAAAAGTGCTATATACATGCTTCTTGAAATGCAGGTTCTGTGCTTTCTCTTTCTATCAGGTTGTCAGGGAGATGCTACCTAAAAATATTTTAATTGTTGAAGGCATTGTCCCTGAATATATTAATTGTTTAAACTGCTTACAATGATKCACTCTGGATGCAGGAGGAAAAAAGAAACATATTTTTAGACTGGTTTACTGAGTATTTAAAAGTGCTAAAAGCACTTCTTTATGCTTAAGTGGATACTATAAAATAATCCTAATGTTTCTTTAAACACTTAAATATTTTTAATACTTGTTTTAAATATTTTTGGATAATATTTMAATTTTGGATACTATAATTTTTAAATAATTTTAACAAATTATTTTGTTTTTGGAGATGGTGCTCTGCAGACACTATGAAGTCTTAGTAAACTTTCATTATAGTAATTTGGAAGACTAAAGGCTTGCAAGTATTAAATCATTTATTTATAWGCTAGTTCATGGAAATACTCTATAGTAGTTTCATCATATGTATTACTAAGAATTTACAAGTTCTAGATCACATAATATGTAATAGCATTGGGGTTTTTCTCCCCTCTGGTGAGCAGTCTGTTTCTCCTATATTTGTTTGGTTTATTAAGGATTTAAGTGGCATAGCATGGATATTGGACTCGATCCTTGAGGGTCTTTTCCAACTCAGAATATTCTGTAACTCCTATATATGTCAAGGCAGCAGCTTTTAAAGAACKCATTCGAAATAGTGAAGAATAATTCATGGGAGGCATGAACATCATCCTATATGAAATCTGTAATAAACCTGTCCTATCTTCATTTTAAAATGCCACTTATAATGAATTATTCTTTCTCTCTTCTGAAGGCAGTGGCCCTAGCACCATCTTCTAATCAAACTAAATTTAAGTAGAGAACATCAGAGCTTAGTTCATGTTTTTGTCTTAATTGGGATTACTCTGTCTTTCTTTCCTTCTTGGCTATCTTTACTTTTGCAGGAGTTCACCATTTTGGCTGTAAGTAAAGTTCAGTGTCTGAGCTAAATCACAGTGTACCTCCCAGCCCTGATGCACCTTCTAAAGTCTCAGTCTTTTCACCTTTGTCCAAGAAGAACCCACAGGTCCTTTCGGCTTTTCTTTGTTTTCTTTGTCACCCACCCTCAGTTCCTTACTGGATGTTTTTTCCTGATATGTTTAGGATGTTTTCTTTGACTGACTCTGGGAAATGGTGGAGGAAACTTTCAATGTGGTTCTTTTTTTTTTTTTTTCTTTTTATTTATATATATATATATTGTATTATTATTTAATCTGTGACAGTGATACTGTTACTGTGGCACTGGACATTCACTAATAAGAATGCCATGTCACGTAAGCAAGTATTAAACATCAAATACTTCTGTAACTTATACCTACTCCTTCCTCTTTTCCCTTGCTCTTACCCTTGGCCTAATGGATGCAGTTTTGATAATGTAGCGAGATTTTCTGTTGTGCTTGATCTAACCATGTGGTTGTGAGGTATGAGTAAAACATGGTTCTGTCAAGCACCATGGAACGTCACGCAGCTTTCTACAGCATGGCAAGCTGCTGAGGCTTAAGTCAGGATCACACATTTTTCAAATTAAAGCTGTAAACAGGGCTTTCAATCTTATGTGTTGAGATGATGTGGAGTATCAGGACTATTAAAAAAAAAATCACAGAGGTTAATGAAGTCCAGTCAACAATACAAATTTGTAACCAGAGAAAGAGAAAAGGTGGCATTCAGGATCTATTTATTCTTGATACTGAGAAAGAAAACAAATTCTAAAACAAACAGTGGCATTTGTGTGATTAGCTAACAAACAAGGCTAGATTGGCTGACAACATAATCAGCAGAAAGTACAGCTGTGAAAAGCTCAAGTTAATGTTATCCTGCCATGTGAAGTTGGTCTCAGTTTCTTTTTCCAGCATATCTTAAGTCCCTATATTTAACCCTCTCTTGAAGCCCTCRTGTCTGTTCAGTATCACAAAGTTTATCATGCATTTCCCAAGTTGCCCACCCGTTATCTGCACTGCAGATGTCTTTTCAACCTTCTCACAAGAAGCAAATCTTATACTTTATTAACTTAGTATATGTGTTTTGACTTGAATCCTCTGCAGGCACTGAAGAYTACAGATCCAAATTAAGTGGAGACTGCTTTGCAGATTTGGCTTGCCCTGAGAAATGTCGCTGTGAAGGGACCACAGTGGACTGCTCCAATCAGAAACTCAACAAAATTCCTGATCACATCCCCCAGTATACAGCAGAGCTGTAAGTTGAACCCATAATAAAGCATTATTTACTTATGGAAAAACTAACTAAAATTGTAAAATATAAAACCACAACTTTACTTTTTTTGAACTGCAAAAATTAAAAGTAACCTCTGTAGTGCACTTCAAAGGATTAAATATTTATAAAAATCATTCATGCATTATTTCAATACCAGGTAGCCTTAAACCCATGACAAATATATAAGGTAACTATTCTATGTTTCTAGTTCTACAGGACCTGAGCAATCCACTTGGGTTTTTTGAAAGGTGGTGGGGTTTATTTTGCATTTTACTACAGGAGAAAGTAGGACATCCAGYAACCAGAGGGATCTGTCTTAAAAAAGTGCTACTTAGATGTTTAAACAGAGCTGATTCTTCTTATGCAGAGCACACGTTTGTCCGGCTTGAGACCGGGGAAGATAAGGCAAACAGGACAGAGTTGGGTTAAGATGAGATAATAATATAATAAATAGAGATGGGCAGAGAACTACTTGTGATTATTACTTGCTTAATAAGTGCCATATGGGAATGATTTGTAGGCATTACCACTGGAGTGGTCTTCAAGGAAGGAGTGAAAGATAAAATTAAGACAGCTTTACAAGGCTTCCCCATGTGCAAAGAATAGTATGAAAGGGAATGCAGAGRTGGTTGAAGAGTTGGCAGAAAGGTAGATGAAAGTGGCTGTCATTGCAGAGCAAAGGCAGAAGGAAATAGCTGGTTTTCCTAGGAGGTTCAGTTTAAAGAGCAAGGCAAAACGTTGAGGGACAAAAAGAGGAACTTTGATTTATATAGTAAAGATGTGAAGACAAGAGTGTTGTGATCAAGTTGTCACCCACAGCGGTGAGAGGAVCAACAGGATGGCACATCTCTTAAAAGAGCAGCCTACAGCTGGCATCAAAGCAACAGTATGGCAAGGAGGTAGGAAATAATGAGACGACTGTTAAGTATTTGAATGTCTGAACAGGAAAAGGGATTTAAAACCGAAATAGTTTACAAACACAGATGGAGGCTTTTGTCTGGGTCTAAGCTGGGAGAAGGAGTTGAACTTAGCACTTGTTTGGGCTGGCGTAGAGTTAATTTTCTTCRTAATTAGTATGGATTTATGATTTGGATTTGTGCTGAATACRAAGTTGATAATAAAGAGATRTTTTYGTTATTGCTGAGCAGGGCTTWTKCAGAGCCAAGGCCTTTTCTGCTTTTGTGCTGCCACACCAGAGAGGAGGTTTTGCATGCATGGGAGGGTGGGAGGAGACMCAACCAGGGAAGGTGACCCAAACTGATCCAAAGCCTATTCCAGATCATTTGACATATGCTCTGGATATAAAGGGGAGGAAGAGGGGACACTTGGAGCAATACATTTGTCATCCCAGGTCACTGTTACATGTGACAGGCCCTGCTCTCCTGGGGATTGCTGAGCACCTCCCTGCTCATGGGAAGCAGTGAATTCCTTGTTTTGCTTTGCCTGTGTGCATGACTTTTTCTTTTCCTATTGAACTGTCTTTATCTCTACCCATGAGTTTTCCAGYTTTTACCCTTCTGATTTCTCCTGATCCTGATGGAGGTGGAGTGAGCAAGTGGCCGTGTTGAACGTGGTGTCTTGCTGGGTTTAAACCACAACATGTTCTTGTTACAAATATGAAAATTACAATCAGAGAAAAAGAATYGATGCAGTCCTGGGTGAAGGGAGATAGATTTCAGTGGAGAAAGAAATTTTATGTTGTCAAAATAAAAATKAAATAAAATTGCTTTAATTTAAAAATAAAAGCTGATGGAATAGGTAGCAGGTTAAAGTGTGGGAGGAGATCATAAAGTATAAATGATAGTTACTGAACCAAGAGATGAGAAATGGAGTTGTTGAAGTGATAAATGTGCATTGCCTTGATTTTTAGAAGGAATCATGTTTAATTGTCTGTTCTCTGAAGAAATAATATTGTTAATTTAGAAATTTAATTGTTTTTCATATTMATTTTTTACATGTGAAAGACAAACTGTTAGGTGTTTTCTTTCTATAATTATTGTTCCTGTTAAATTCAGAGGGAACAATTAAATAATCAAGCTTCATCTACTGTATATCCTAAACACTCAAATTTCAGTAAAAAAAAAATATTTTTTTACTGTTTGGTAACAGCACTTCTTGCAGAAAATATCCAGTCTTGTTTGATGGTGTTAGTGGATTAAAAAATCCTCCATAACCCTGATGCGGTTATAGAAGTTAATTATTTCCTTCCACTTACGTTAATTTTTTTTTAAATGGGAACTTTTAGTTTGAGATGGAATCTACCTCTCTTCAGTTTCCATCATTGATTCCTTTATATTTTTTGCCATTGAAGAGTCCTTGTCTTTATAGCACTTTATCCAAGTAAAATGGTATTAACTGGGACAAAGTAATTTTTCAACCTTTTCCTTGATAGGCTGGTACAGATTGTTCTTCAARTCATTTGCTGTAATAAAGATTTCAACAGTCTTGCAAATACTCTAGAGAGGGTAGAGAAATTACTTCTTAATTTTTTTTTACTTCTTCTAAAAATCCATTTTCTCTAGCCAAATMCACTTGTTTGCCATTTGCCTCACTGATGCAAAAGTTACAGCTCTTTCTCTTGTTTCCTCCTTTTATTCCTGGTCTTTGATGCACTGTGTTTGTTGTTCATCTTGAGACATCCCAGTGTAGTTCTTTGATTTTCAGTTCACAATATTTACAGGCTTGTATGAGAATAGCAGCTAATTAGCCTTTTTTTTACCCACATGGTATGATAGAATAATACTTATTGSAGTCAAATTACAGTGATGCTGATATAGGTGATGAGGACTTTGACCAGTTTCTTCAGGGTGATGTTTGGAGCTAAATCTCAGCTTGGCAATGAAGATCAAAAGTAAGGAACAAGTGTCCAAAAGSAGGCAAAATGGTGAGGGGCCTTGAAGGGAAGCCGTGTGAGGAGCAGCTGAGGTCACTTGATCTGTTCAGCCTGGAGGAGATTGAGGGCAGACCTCAGTGCAGTCCAGAACTTCCTCAAGAGGAGAAGAGGAGGAGCAGGCACTGATCTCTTGTCCATGGTGACCAGTGACAGGGCCAGGAGCTAGACCCTATGATCTTTGTGGGTCTCTTTCAACTCAGCATATTCTGTGATTCTCTGAAAAAAAGTGTCCATTGTGTAGATTGCAACAGTCATAATATCACAGGAAAAAAAAAAACCTATTTCTTCAAAGTAGCTGTTTTCTTAAAAAAAACCAAAAATATTGTTCAAGGCAGATACTTACTWGTAAAAGTTAAAAAATTATAACTAAACCAACTAACTGTTGTTCAAACTTTCCATTTTGTCACTTGCTCACRGTCTTCTAGAAAAACAGTGAAAGATCTGTCTTATCTGCCAGAAAATTATTTGATATAAAGTACAACTCTAATTGCATCCCAGGAAAAAATACTTTTCATGTAGCTTCCTAATATATAGGAAAATTCAGGAAGCATTTCAGAAATCGCTCAAATGAAAATCCCCAGAAAAAATGCTTAATAAAACATAATTTCAGTCTTATAAATGGATTTTTACACTGATATTACAGTAGATGATAAAGTAACAAGAAAGCTTTGGAAAGCATGAATATAACTGCAGTATATAGCCTTCCAGGAAGGTTCAGCTATTTTCAAAAACATGCAATGTCTTAGCCACTGTGTTACTAAAGCAGAAAAAAGCATCAAATAATCCAGACAATGTGTGGGCATCATCATCAAATGCTTCTGTTTACTTTTTTGTTTTGAGAATGGTATTTCAGTACTTTCAATAAACCAGGCTAAAAGAATTTTAAGATAATTTTCTTGATCCAGTTTCCTTACCAGTGAAGAGCACTGGGCTCAAAAAAMTAATACTAAAATCCAGAATGGAGATCCCATCGCATCTGTAAACTTTCCAGTCATCTGTAATAACTTTGATTCCATTGTGTGTGGACTAATTTAAATAAAATRTAATTAAAATAAAAAATAAAATTCTACATATTAAATTAAATAGAGCTATTTAGCACAGGAAATACAAGATTGAGGAATAACCAGCAAGTAGGCCAAAATAAAAGGCTAAGGTTATCATACACATTAAAGATGAAAGAGTGCTACTGGGCACTCATGCAAATTTCATTTCAGGATATATATGTAGGAATGTGGCATGTAAATTGCATTAAATAATGATTGTACTGCACATAGCAGTAGTAAAATACCAGCTGGAATACTGTGCTAAAGGCTGCACTTTTTAAGATGGATATAATTCCTCAAAAAAATTCAAGGAGAACAAGAATTATGAAAAAAGGAGACTGGAAGTGTTGAAGACATTTGTGTGAAAGAAATTTGAGGGAGAGAAAACAAATTACTTTTARTAGGTAAAAAATTGTTGCAAAGAATAAATGATCAAGTTKTTTGCCTTTTTCAATGGGGTTMGAAATGCTTGCAGTAGAGCAAATAAGTATTATTAGAATCAGTAAATGTTTTCATTATCRAGTCATTCTTCTAGATAGTAAAGCACTTGTAAAGTATTTGAAGATGTCAGCATTTATAGAATGGTCAGTGCTTGTGTTGTTGATAATAGAGTAAAGAAAAGG